CCTGCTTGCTAGTGAGGTTGAATATGTTTTATATCGTTATTGGCCTTCAGTATTTCCTCTACTCTCTCTCCCATCCCTAGATTGATGTAGACTGACTCAGTAATATGTGGGCATTTTACTGCATTCTGGATCAGCTGTCTTTTCCCAGTCTGCAGCTTGTCTTAACTTTATGGTGTCTTTTATCAGTAAAATGCTTTTAAGTGTATTTTTGTCAAACATACCTGTTTATGGCTAATATTTTTGTGTTTTTTTTTTTTTTTTTTTAAGAAACCGTGTTTAAAAAAATCCCCTCCTGTCTTTTTCCTTTATATTCTCTCTCTGGGGTTGTCTGTTCCTTGGTAGGGCCTCCTGAAGTGATTGCTGCGTCTTCTCTCTTCATATCCTGTGAATTCGTTCCTGCTCTCTGAGAGCCTCTCGTATCATCCTGTCCTGTTTTATACTGAAATCTCACCAATCTGACAGTCAGAATTACAGCTCACTGAAAGTCGGATGCAACTGCTGCCTGGGTTCTCTGTGTCTTGGCACCGAGTCTGGTCTGCACCTGTGCAGCGGGCGTACTTGGGCGGCTGGTCTGTTCACCAGGGAAGAGCTGTAGTCGGAGTTCCTGCCTTGCTGTGGCCGAGCAGGTCTGCTTCCTGACTGGCTGGCCTCCCTGTGCCCACCCTCACCCCCACCCCCCGGCCTGGTCGGGCCAGGGTCATCTCGTTGGCTCTGCTTCCTGCTTGCTGGGCCCACCGCTGGCTGTCAGGCTACAGATTCCCCAGCTGTTACGTCAGGCCGAAGGGGTCTCACCTCGGGGGCTGCCACACCTGGGCATCACGACAACCTTCCGTACTCTTGGGAAGGCCCGGGAGTTTTGCCCGAATATAAATTCAGCGCTGGCTGCTGATAGCGCTGCCCACAAAGAGGAGTGACTGGCAGGGAGGTGGGGCATCTGGCAAAGCTGTCCCGAACACAGCCTTTCCCCTCATCTGTTTTTAACTTGACTTTCTCCTGCCTTCTCTGTGTTTAAGCTCAGAGCCTCCCCTGGGGTCCCGTTTCCGCTGCAGTTTCTAACATGCAGGGCTGGGATCTCGGCCCCGTCTCGCTGGTCCGGTGCACTTGGATCCACTCTCCATCTTGCAGGAATGTGGAATACCAACCACGTGCTGATATCCTCTTCTCTTCACTGGGATTTCTCTTACATTCTCTTAAAATATTAAGAGATTTTTAAACCCCGAAGTAGAACATGAACCTTGTGTTTGCTCAGGTTGCTCCCGTAACAGATCACCACCGACTGAATGGCTTAAAATAACACGAACTGACTCTTCCTCTAGAGCTCAGAGGTGTGGGGTCCACAGGGCCGCTCCTGGGGGCTCCAGGGCAGAATGTGCTTCTTTGCTTCTTCAGCATTGGGAGGCCACCCGCACTTCCTGGCTCACTGCCCTCTGCTCCACCTTCGGAATGCCTCACCCCACTGCTGCTCCCTCTCCCATCTTTGATGATTCTGACCCTCCTGCCTCACCCTCCTTCACCTAAAGGGACCCTTGTACTGCCTCCACTGAGCCCACCTGCATGATCCAAGCTTATCCCCCCATCTCAACATCCATGACATAATCACATCTCTGCAAAGTCCCATTTGTCAAATTGAGGTAACAGTCACAGGTCATGGGGATTAGGATGTGGACGTCTTCGTGGGCCGTTATTCAGCCTCCCATGAACAGCCGTGTTCACCAGCTTTAGCTACTGTTAAGCTTTCCAGCTTTCTGCCTTTATTTTATTCTGACACACAACGTTTCTTTAAAATCTGGAGTACTTGAAAGGAAATCTCAGATGGTGTATCATTTCACCCGTACACACTTCTGCATATATATCTGAGGGATTAATACTTATTAGAAGATAGCCATGGTATCTTTACCACACCCAACAGTAGTTTCTTCTTATTACCCAACACCCAGATAACATTCAGTTTTCCCCACTTGATCCCAAAATGTCCTTTACAGTTGGTTGGTTCAAATCAGGATCCAAATAAGGACCACACATTACATGTGCTTTATATACTGAAGAAACCAGGTCACTTGTCTTGTTTTGCCGATTTTGCCCTTGTGATAATCTTCTCCATCCCTTCGTCTCTTGTAACAGGTGGTTGGGCAAGAGGCCGGAGTAGGTGTTTTTGGCGTGAATACTGCATGGTGGTGCGGGTCCTTCCTACTGTTCCGCATTAGTGGGCACAGGATGTCTAGGCCCACGTTCAGATGACATGATGGATGAGTGGGGGGCAGGTATTACTGCCTTGTGCCTCCATTACTAAGTTACCCGCCCACCTTTCTTTCACCTGTGGTTTAGTGGTCACCGATGATCACTGCCGTTGTCCTCTGTTTTATTAGCGGCTGCAGAATCAATCTCTAATGTTCATTACTTACATGTTAGGTGTAGTTCTCTTCCTTTTTAAATGTGCGTATAGGGATTCCACTGGGGTTGGGAGGTGAACTTGTGGCTCAGCGCACCAGCTTGACAGCTGCCTGGGTGTGGGGTTGGACCTTGTTAAGTGTGGATGGTATCTGAAGACATTAGGTAACCTCAGATGCACCCACTGGCAGCATGTGGGGAGTGGACAGACAGCCTCCCCGCTGGCCCCCTGGACTGCTGTGAAAGTGTATCGCACTGATGATTCATGCTACACAGGCCTTGTGTGCATCCTTTGTCTGAATGTTACTTTTAAATAAAAAAGTTACTCAAACACATGGAAGTAACAGCTATCAAGGAAACTAAGACCTGGGCAGGTTTATAAGCCAGAGCCAAGAAATTGGCCGTGAGTACAAGGTTGAGGATGGCCTCACTAAGGGAGCTGGTAGTGGGCATTTTAAATGCTTTCAGAGTAAGGGAAGCATCGGAGCAGAAGCCATCCTGTGCTTTAGACCAGTCACTGTGTGGAGGTGGAGGGAAGTTCAGACTGACATAAAAGTCAGTACACTGAACACCCAGCAGCAAGGGCTGGCCCTACTGAGGGGTGACAAGCTCAGCCAATAAGCCATGACTGGCACGGACAGAAAGGAAGGCAGGCTGCGGGAAAGGCCAAGTGCAGGTAGAGGAGAAGGCATGCAGCGGCCTGTGAAGGGCTGGGCGCGCTCCACAGGACTCTCAGGGTGGAGACGCACTGCACACATGTCCGGCCAGCGGGTGTCTGTCTTGGGCTTGATTCTGCACTGACAGAGGTTGACCAGAAACCAGTTTCTATATGAAGGGGAGGGCCTTGGTGCACAGACGGCAAAATGGGGGCTGAGAAGTGGGCCCGGGTTGTGAGGTTTGTGATGTAGCACCCATGATAGGCAGCCCACTCTGTACCAGCACTACCACCAGGGAAGGCATTGCCCCTGGCCCACCTGGAAATGCCCAGACACCTGAGGCCCACATGCTGATTGCTTAAAAGGACTGTAAAGGACATTCATTGCATAACTTCTGACATGAATCAGACAGAAGTTATGATTCATCTCCCCCTCTAGTTTTCAAGTGAGTATTTGTGGTTCTGTTTTTCCTAAAAGCATCAGTCTGAACTTTTCAAGACTCCAGTGTTCTGATGGCAGTTGTGACCAACTGTCTTCGGCCCGGGCGGTCTGCTCCGTCCTTCCTCACCCTTAGCTCCGATCTTTGGGACAGAAGTTATCTGGGGATGGAAACTTCGCTACTATGGCCAGGAAGACAGCCTGTGAATGTTTATCTTCCAGGCNCTTTTCAAGACTCCAGTGTTCTGATGGCAGTTGTGACCAACTGTCTTCGGCCCGGGCGGTCTGCTCCGTCCTTCCTCACCCTTAGCTCCGATCTTTGGGACAGAAGTTATCTGGGGATGGAAACTTCGCTACTATGGCCAGGAAGACAGCCTGTGAATGTTTATCTCGCTCTTCCAGGCCCTAGATCTGCATGTTGAGCAGACTCTGATCCCTGGGTCTCTGGCCTGCGACCAGTGCTTGTACTCTTAATAAGGTCCTGGCCTTATTAAGTCTCTGCATCTGCAGAGAAGAAGGGGCTGCCTTGCCCTGGTGGGAATCCTGTCCACAATAGCCAGTGTTACTAGACTTGTGCAGGAGAGATGCACTTGTCTTTGTGGTTACTGTGGGCCCACATACTTAATTCCCTAGGAGTACATCCCAAATACAGGGCTCTGGGTGGCTCCCCGTGAGACCTGATCCACACCAGCCAAAATACTGGACGTAACTAGTATAAGTCCTCTGCATCCTGTCACCGCCCCCATGCTGTCAGCCTGTCCATCCCCAGAGAACATTGGAGAGGAGGGCCCCAGACTGAAGAGAAACGTGTGCTCTTTTAGGAACCAGTGACCTTCAAGGACGTGGCCGTGGACTTCACCCAGGAGGAGTGGGGGCAGTTGGACCCAATTCAGAGGATGCTGTACCGTGACGTGATGCTGGAGACCTTTGGGCACCTGTTGTCTGTGGGTAAGGCAGGTGCTGCCTGAGCAAATGAAGCTCTTTGCATTGTGATACCTTAGCTGCTTGTTTGAAAGCTCACAGGATGTAACTGTTTGACAATGGATGTAAACTAGACTTAATTGTGACCATTTTGCAATATATACAAATACTGAATCATTATGTTGTACACCTGAAACTAATATAATGTATGTCCGTTATATCTCATTTTTTAAAAAGTAGCAATGCTTAACAACAACACTACCACCAACAAATAAGGTTCAGTAGTAAATCTAAAGGATTTGTGGGGTCCCAGAAGGCTGAGATGGTCTTGAGCCCTTAGGTTCAAGGCTGCAATTCCTAATGCTTACAAAGCATGAGGTGGGAGGGATCCCACTTTTTCTGCCCAAGTGAGAAGCCAGGAAAGAATAGGTATGGGAAGCATATAAACCTTCACATGTCGGTGTTTTTCGCCCATGCACAGGGAATCAGATCGCCAAGCCCGAGGTCATCTCCCTGTTGGAGCAAGGAGAAGAGCCGTGGTCAGTGGAGCGAGCATTTCCTCAAAACTCTTGTCCAGGTGAGACAGGCCAAAACTTCCCCCAGCTCTGCTTGTGAGAGAGACGGCCGAGGCCACGGTATCGCCTTCCTCAGAGACATCCAGAACCCCCCCAAGGGCCTTTGTGGCTGTCGATTGAAGCAAAGATGCCCACCTTGTCAAGATGGTAGCAGTCTTTGTAACTGCAGTTTCCCATCCTTACTGTCCACTCTCCTGGTGCCTTTCGTCATCTCAGCTGCCCTTTCACTAAGATGACTTCTCATTCACTCACCAGCTTTTTGATTTGTTTTCATTTCCTTTACTGCCGAACTTGTGACCATAGCCACAGACTCTTCTTTAAAAAAAAGAGTTTTTTCCTTTAGGTGTTCACATGGTTCAAAAACTTAGTTACATAAACTGTAAGCTGATAAACCTCACTTTACTACTCTGCTCTTATGCACATTATTCTTAATACCCCCCAACACACATAGGTAACTATTTTTCTTTTACTATAGATTTTTAAATTTGTTACTGGTTGTCCTAGGGATCATGATTAACATGTTAATTTATTTATAACAGTCTAGTTTGAATTAATACCAATTTAATTTTAATAGTATACAAAACATTTGCTTCTGTATAGATGTATCCTCCCCCATTTATGCTGTTACTGTCACAAATTACATCTACACGTTGTATGTCCACCAACGTAGATTTATAACTGTTGCTTTATGTAGTTGTCTTTTAAATCAGGAAAAAAATGAAGTTACAGAAATATGCATTTATATAGCCTTGTTGTATTTAGCTATGTAGTTACTCTTTTTGATGTTGTCTGTTTTGAGTTACTGTCTAGTGTCCTTTTACTTGTGTCTAAAGGGTTCCATTAACATTTCTTACAGATCAGGTTTGCTAGCAGCAAATGCTCAGGTTTTGTTTAGGTGTCTGGCTTTCTCCTTCATTTTGAAGGTTTTGCCGGATACAGAATTCTTGGTTAACAGTTTTTTTCTTTCTAGTGTGCATGATTTCTATGAGAAATAAGCTGTTGACCTGATAAGGGTCCCCTTGTGTATAATGAGTTGCTTCTCTCTTGCCGCTTTCAGGATTCCCTCTTGGCTTTGGCTTTGACCTTTCACAATTTATGTGTATGCATGCAACCTTCTAGATTCCCAGAAATATGTTAGGGTTTTTCAGAGCCCTTATGGACATCTCAGTCCTTTCATCTTTTTGGTTTGTGTATTATTATTTGCCTCAGTTGGTTTCCATTGTGTCAGGAAGTAGTGAACATACTGCCTGCAAATGTTTGACAGACAGACCTGCACCCTAGAGGCCTTTAGCACTACTCAAGTTCCTGGCAAGCCTTTTGAGTCAAGTCTTTGAGGAACCACCAAACAGGTCAAATAAAAACTATTCCTTGGGAATGAGGCTCTGAAAAATCTCTAACCTCATTCTGCTTCCTCGAGTACCAGAAATACAGGTGGTTATTTTCCAAGGCTGCTGTGATTGCAGAGCCAGAGATGGGGACGAAGATAATCTAAAAAACTCGCTGTTAATGAAATTAAGATAGTTTCTGTGAATACACTGTCCCCTGGGTTGCTGCAAGACTTTGGTTAATTTACAGAATTCTGAGAGTATTAATTGTGGCAGTTTTTGACAGTTTTTTGGTTGTTTTTATGGATTGGTAAACTTTCAGGGTATTTATGTTGCCATTTTCACTGACCTCTTGCCCCAGTTAATTACTTTTAGTAATTTCTGTTATGTTTCTAGAGTTTCTTTATGCAACTAAAAGCGTATGGGAATGTGCAGTTATTTTTCATCTTTCCAAAGGTAAACTATGATTCAGCCTGTTCTGTATATTGATGTTTTTAATTTAGCATTGTACCATGGCCTCCTGAGTTCTGGAGGTAGATTTCTTCCCAGCCCTTCTAACGGAATGGGCTTTTGTGGAGTCTCACCAGCTGCCTTCACTTCAGATCTCAAGGACTCATGAATTATGGGAGTTGTAAGTCTTCCCCCCTTGGTGCTAATGCTTTGTGAGGCCTGTGGTTCTGTCACCTCCTTCCTTACACTTTTACCATCTTGCGGATCATCTCCACTGTCTCCTTGATCTCTGTGGAACTAGGAATTTCATCTCTTTGCTATGGATTGTTTTCCCAGGTTCTTGGTATGTGTCCCTGAGGCCAGCCTTCTGAGTCGTCTGAGCTCGATGTCGAGAGAGCACCCTGCCCACCTGCTGCCGCCCCTGCAGGAAGTAATCTCTTCTAACTCCTGGGATTTTCTTCCTCTGAAATGTCAGCTGTGTCATTCAACTTCCACCAACGTCACCTGCCCCTCAGGTCCCTTCCTCATAAAATTGCGGCTCAAGTTGATGAGTAAATTCATAACTTGTTATCAGCCACCTCAGGTGCTATTTCCAGATGTATCTCTCTGAGGTCTTCCATCATGAGGTCTCTGTTTTGTTGTACAGTGTTTTGAGTTGCCTTTTGCGTAACAGACCAGATGTCCAAATATTTCTAGTACTTTTCTCATTCCCTGACTAGTTCCTGCTGTTTACTCTGCTGGCACCTTCACGTCTTCCTAATGAGTCCAGTCACGTGCCGTGCCGGGGGCCCGTCTGCATTGGAGCCCGGCTGAAGGCTGGACTCCTGTCTCTGGTGTGGAACTTTCCCTGGTTTCTTCTGCTGGTGCTGATCTCCTTGTCTGACCTCCCACCCACTTAGCATGCAAAACCCACAATCTCTCAGCGATATATTGTGTGTATTGCTCATAACTGTTCAGCATTTCCTTTCATCAGATAGATCCTAGCTTCCAGGTGAAAGAGACTGTCTTTCTTGTCTCTGGTTCTGGACACTCAGTCCACAAGGACCAAGAGGAAGTTTGGGCCAGAGTTGTTCATTTGATCAGTGGGATGATCAGCTGCCATTTTTAGAAGTTTCTATTGAAAGAATTCAAAAGCTATATGAAGATCATTCCCTAACTTCTAGGAGCTAAGCTTGAAATTGTAATGAATGCCAGTTGTTGAGTGGAGTAGAGCCTCTTTTGTAATGGACTTGGGTAGCGAAATGGGGAAAATAGTCTATACTGAAGTGAGAGGAAGAAAAACCTAGAGAAAGAGGACAAGGAACTACATCCTGTTGGGTACCTGTGCCAGGCTGGATAATGACACCCCTGCCCCCCCAAAAAAAGATGCACCATGTCCTAAACTTGTGAATATGATACCTTAGTATGGCAAAAGGGGCTTCTCAGATGCAAATAAATTAAGGATCTTGAGATAGAGAGGTTATCTTCGATTATTTGAGTGGGTCCATTGTAATCACAAGGTCCTCATGAGAGTGAGGCAGTGTCAGAGATACAGAGAGGAGGCGGTCGACGGAAACAGAGGTTGGAATGAAGTGCTTTGAAGATGGAGGAAGGGGCTACAAGTCAAAGAGAGCAGACGGCGTCCAAAAGAAAAGGCAAGACTGTGGATTCTCCCCTGCCTTGCTTTTAGCCCATGAAAGCCATTTTGTAGTTTTCACTTCCAGGACTGTGTAAGGTAAGTTTGCGTTATTTTAAGCCACTCTTCTGTGTGCTAATTTGTTACAGCAGCAATAGGAAAATAACACAGACCCCTTCAACTGCTGGGGGAGTGATACCTCAGCAGTGATGATAGGTGCCTCCCGAATGTTGAAGTTGCCAGACATTTCACTGGATTCATAATCTTATTTAATTATCAGGAAAGTCCTCCAAGGATAGTGCAGAGCCAGTATTCCTGTGTCTCCATCAAAACATGCTGTCTTTCAAGTCTGTCTCTTGTGTCATTGTTCTACAAATGATTCTGTAGTTGTGAAAAGAATTGTAACTGTAGGAGTTTCCATAAACCATGGTGATTTTTGCCCCCTTCGCTGATGGATTTTGTGTCATTAACTGAACTCTAAGGAATAGGAAATGATGTAACAGCATATAGATGGCACCCTAGCTTGAAGCCTCTGTTAGTGACACTTTCTCTTAACCTCACCCCCTCCTTTTTTGGGCAGGTGTCAAATAGGGGAACTGTAAGGATAGTGTAACACAGAAATGAATTAGGACACTTTAATAATTTAAGCAGTTGTTAAGGGCCTGGTTAATCATCTATCTATTAAGCCAATTATTTATTTTTTCACCTTAATAGTATTCAGTGTGTCCTTTGTCAAGGATACCTTCTGACCACCCCCACGATCAGCGATTAACCAGAAGGATTCATAGGATTCAAAAGTCATATTCAGACTAATGGTTTATTACAGTGAAAGAATACAAAGCAACATCAGCAAAGGGAAATGGCACATGGAGCTATGTCTGGAAGCCAAGTACAACTTTCAGTAGTCCTTTCCCAGTGCAGTTGCAGAGGACACACCTGATTCCTTCAGCAATGAGTTGTGACTATGGTGTGAAGTATCAGCTACTAGGGAAGCTTGCTGACCCTAAGAGTTCAGGGTGTTTATTGGAAGTTGGTTATTTAGGTACACAGTGCCTTTGTGACTGACTGTAACCACCAAAGCTCTTGACCCCTAGAAGGAAAGCAGGTGTTCACCATAAATGACATTGTTCATACAAACTATGTAGGGAAATTGGGACAGTGTGCCTCAAGGTCTCAAGCATGCGAAACATTCCAGTATCTCAACTCCTAGGAGTTGGCCAAGGACCAGTTATGAAATAGGTCTTGGAAACCTTTAAAGTTTGAGCAACTCAGATATGCAAAGATAAGTTTTCCTGCACACCCTTTGGTCCTCCTTTTCATGGGAAAATACTCCTAAATGGGTTTTATTAGTGCACACTTTGTATTTTGGTTAACTGCTTCTCTTTACTTTTCACTATTCTATTCTTCCCTATTATGATCTTTTCCTAGGTTACAAGTCTATTTGAAAACAAGTTCACATTTGCCTTTTCAATAATATGGACAGTTCCACTTTTTCTAATCTTAAATTCTTTCTCTGTGCTCTGACAACTTTTTTCTGTTTATTTCAGAATGGATGAGAAATCTTGAAGGCAAAACACTGATCCCAGCACAGAGCATTTTTGAGGAAGAACAATCCCATAGCATGAAGTTGAAAAGATACATATGGGATGATCCTTGGTTCTCCAGGTTAGAAGTTTTGGGATGCAAAGACCAGTTAGAAATGTACCACATGAACCAGAGTACAGCTATGAGGCAAATGGTCTTCATGCAAAAGCAAGTACTATCTCAGAGAAGCTCTGAATTCTGTGAACTTGGGGCACAATGTAGCCAGAGCTTAACTTTTGTTCCAACTCAGAGAGTTTCTCAAATAGAACATTCCTATAAGCCGGATGCAAATGCTGAAAGTTGGAGATGTAACTCAGCCATAATGTATGCAGATAAGATTACCTGTGAAAATAATGATTATGACAAAGCCTTCTACCAGTCCATGCAGCCTGTTCATCCTGAAAGGATACAACCTGGAGATAATCTTTTCAAATGTACTGATACTGTTAAATCTTTCAATCATATACTACATATTGGTGATCATAAGGGAATACATACAGGAGAAAAACTCTATGAATATGAGGAATGTCATCAAATCTTTAACCAGAGCCCATCATTTAATGAACATCCAAGACTTCATATTGGAGAAAAACAGTATGATTACAAAGAATATGATCTGAGGTCTTCCATCATGAGGTCTCTGTTTTGTTGTACAGTGTTTTGAGTTGCCTTTTGCGTAACAGACCAGATGTCCAAATATTTCTAGTACTTTTCTCATTCCCTGACTAGTTCCTGCTGTTTACTCTGCTGGCACCTTCACGTCTTCCTAATGAGTCCAGTCACGTGCCGTGCCGGGGGCCCGTCTGCATTGGAGCCCGGCTGAAGGCTGGACTCCTGTCTCTGGTGTGGAACTTTCCCTGGTTTCTTCTGCTGGTGCTGATCTCCTTGTCTGACCTCCCACCCACTTAGCATGCAAAACCCACAATCTCTCAGCGATATATTGTGTGTATTGCTCATAACTGTTCAGCATTTCCTTTCATCAGATAGATCCTAGCTTCCAGGTGAAAGAGACTGTCTTTCTTGTCTCTGGTTCTGGACACTCAGTCCACAAGGACCAAGAGGAAGTTTGGGCCAGAGTTGTTCATTTGATCAGTGGGATGATCAGCTGCCATTTTTAGAAGTTTCTATTGAAAGAATTCAAAAGCTATATGAAGATCATTCCCTAACTTCTAGGAGCTAAGCTTGAAATTGTAATGAATGCCAGTTGTTGAGTGGAGTAGAGCCTCTTTTGTAATGGACTTGGGTAGCGAAATGGGGAAAATAGTCTATACTGAAGTGAGAGGAAGAAAAACCTAGAGAAAGAGGACAAGGAACTACATCCTGTTGGGTACCTGTGCCAGGCTGGATAATGACACCCCTGCCCCCCCAAAAAAAGATGCACCATGTCCTAAACTTGTGAATATGATACCTTAGTATGGCAAAAGGGGCTTCTCAGATGCAAATAAATTAAGGATCTTGAGATAGAGAGGTTATCTTCGATTATTTGAGTGGGTCCATTGTAATCACAAGGTCCTCATGAGAGTGAGGCAGTGTCAGAGATACAGAGAGGAGGCGGTCGACGGAAACAGAGGTTGGAATGAAGTGCTTTGAAGATGGAGGAAGGGGCTACAAGTCAAAGAGAGCAGACGGCGTCCAAAAGAAAAGGCAAGACTGTGGATTCTCCCCTGCCTTGCTTTTAGCCCATGAAAGCCATTTTGTAGTTTTCACTTCCAGGACTGTGTAAGGTAAGTTTGCGTTATTTTAAGCCACTCTTCTGTGTGCTAATTTGTTACAGCAGCAATAGGAAAATAACACAGACCCCTTCAACTGCTGGGGGAGTGATACCTCAGCAGTGATGATAGGTGCCTCCCGAATGTTGAAGTTGCCAGACATTTCACTGGATTCATAATCTTATTTAATTATCAGGAAAGTCCTCCAAGGATAGTGCAGAGCCAGTATTCCTGTGTCTCCATCAAAACATGCTGTCTTTCAAGTCTGTCTCTTGTGTCATTGTTCTACAAATGATTCTGTAGTTGTGAAAAGAATTGTAACTGTAGGAGTTTCCATAAACCATGGTGATTTTTGCCCCCTTCGCTGATGGATTTTGTGTCATTAACTGAACTCTAAGGAATAGGAAATGATGTAACAGCATATAGATGGCACCCTAGCTTGAAGCCTCTGTTAGTGACACTTTCTCTTAACCTCACCCCCTCCTTTTTTGGGCAGGTGTCAAATAGGGGAACTGTAAGGATAGTGTAACACAGAAATGAATTAGGACACTTTAATAATTTAAGCAGTTGTTAAGGGCCTGGTTAATCATCTATCTATTAAGCCAATTATTTATTTTTTCACCTTAATAGTATTCAGTGTGTCCTTTGTCAAGGATACCTTCTGACCACCCCCACGATCAGCGATTAACCAGAAGGATTCATAGGATTCAAAAGTCATATTCAGACTAATGGTTTATTACAGTGAAAGAATACAAAGCAACATCAGCAAAGGGAAATGGCACATGGAGCTATGTCTGGAAGCCAAGTACAACTTTCAGTAGTCCTTTCCCAGTGCAGTTGCAGAGGACACACCTGATTCCTTCAGCAATGAGTTGTGACTATGGTGTGAAGTATCAGCTACTAGGGAAGCTTGCTGACCCTAAGAGTTCAGGGTGTTTATTGGAAGTTGGTTATTTAGGTACACAGTGCCTTTGTGACTGACTGTAACCACCAAAGCTCTTGACCCCTAGAAGGAAAGCAGGTGTTCACCATAAATGACATTGTTCATACAAACTATGTAGGGAAATTGGGACAGTGTGCCTCAAGGTCTCAAGCATGCGAAACATTCCAGTATCTCAACTCCTAGGAGTTGGCCAAGGACCAGTTATGAAATAGGTCTTGGAAACCTTTAAAGTTTGAGCAACTCAGATATGCAAAGATAAGTTTTCCTGCACACCCTTTGGTCCTCCTTTTCATGGGAAAATACTCCTAAATGGGTTTTATTAGTGCACACTTTGTATTTTGGTTAACTGCTTCTCTTTACTTTTCACTATTCTATTCTTCCCTATTATGATCTTTTCCTAGGTTACAAGTCTATTTGAAAACAAGTTCACATTTGCCTTTTCAATAATATGGACAGTTCCACTTTTTCTAATCTTAAATTCTTTCTCTGTGCTCTGACAACTTTTTTCTGTTTATTTCAGAATGGATGAGAAATCTTGAAGGCAAAACACTGATCCCAGCACAGAGCATTTTTGAGGAAGAACAATCCCATAGCATGAAGTTGAAAAGATACATATGGGATGATCCTTGGTTCTCCAGGTTAGAAGTTTTGGGATGCAAAGACCAGTTAGAAATGTACCACATGAACCAGAGTACAGCTATGAGGCAAATGGTCTTCATGCAAAAGCAAGTACTATCTCAGAGAAGCTCTGAATTCTGTGAACTTGGGGCACAATGTAGCCAGAGCTTAACTTTTGTTCCAACTCAGAGAGTTTCTCAAATAGAACATTCCTATAAGCCGGATGCAAATGCTGAAAGTTGGAGATGTAACTCAGCCATAATGTATGCAGATAAGATTACCTGTGAAAATAATGATTATGACAAAGCCTTCTACCAGTCCATGCAGCCTGTTCATCCTGAAAGGATACAACCTGGAGATAATCTTTTCAAATGTACTGATACTGTTAAATCTTTCAATCATATACTACATATTGGTGATCATAAGGGAATACATACAGGAGAAAAACTCTATGAATATGAGGAATGTCATCAAATCTTTAACCAGAGCCCATCATTTAATGAACATCCAAGACTTCATATTGGAGAAAAACAGTATGATTACAAAGAATATGAGAATATCTTTTACTTCTCATCCTTTATGGAACATCAGAAAATTGGTACTGTAGAGAAAGCATATAAATACAATGAATGGGAGAAAGTCTTTGGGTATGACTCATTCCTCACTCAACATACAGGCACTTACACTGCAGAGAAACCCTTTGAATATAATGAATGTGGGACATCTTTCATTTGGAGTTCTTACCTTATCCAACATAAGAAAACTCATACTGGAGAGAAACCCTATGAATGTGATAAATGTGGAAAAGTTTTTAGGAATCGTTCAGCCCTTACTAAACATGAACGCACCCACACTGGAATAAAACCCTATGAATGTAATAAATGTGGAAAAGCCTTCAGCTGGAATTCTCATCTTATTGTACATAAGAGAGTACATACAGGGGAGAAACCTTATGTATGTAATGAATGTGGGAAATCTTTCAACTGGAACTCCCATCTAATTGGGCATCAGAGAACTCATACTGGAGAGAAACCCTTTGAATGCACTGAATGTGGGAAATCGTTCAGCTGGAGCTCCCATCTTATTGCCCATATGAGAATGCATACTGGAGAGAAGCCCTTTAAATGTGATGAATGTGAAAAAGCTTTTAGAGATTACTCAGCCCTTAGTAAACATGAAAGAACTCACTCTGGAGCAAAACCATATAAATGTACTGAATGTGGAAAATCCTTCAGCTGGAGCTCTCATCTAATTGCTCATCAGAGAACTCACACAGGAGAGAAACCCTATAACTGTCAGGAATGTGGCAAAGCATTCAGGGAACGCTCAGCCCTTACTAAACATGAAATAATTCATTCTGGAATTAAGCCCTATGAATGTAATAAATGTGGAAAATCCTGCAGTCAGATGGCTCATCTTGTTAGACATCAAAGGACTCATACTGGCGAAAAGCCTTACGAATGCAATAAGTGTGGAAAATCCTTCAGCCAGAGCTGTCATCTTGTTGCTCATCGGAGAATTCACACTGGTGAGAAACCCTATAAATGTAATCAATGTGAAAGATCCTTTAACTGTAGCTCTCACCTTATTGCACACCGGAGAACTCATACTGGAGAGAAACCATATAGATGTAATGAATGTGGGAAAGCATTTAATGAGAGTTCTTCCCTTATTGTACATCTGAGAAACCATACTGGAGAAAAACCCTACAAATGTAACCATTGTGAGAAAGCTTTCTGTAAGAACTCTTCTCTTATTATTCATCAGAGAATGCATAGTGGAGAGAAACGCTTTATATGCAGTGACTGTGGGAAAGCCTTTAGTGGTCACTCGGCCCTACTTCAACACCAGAAAAACCATAATGAAGAGAAACTCTGTGGATTGAATTGATAAAGAGATTTTTCTTTTATCATACATTTGGTGCCACATTGAAAAAAAAAACCTGTAAGTAATCAAGAGGGGAAGTTTTTAGTAAGAGTTAAGGAAGACTTCTCTTATTCAATAGAAAGTATCTCTTAGAAGAAACCTATAGATGAAAAGAATAGGGAGAAGCTTTCAGCAGCTGTGTAGCCCTTATTTGACATCAGATAATTACAGATAATTTGAAGAAAACTCCAAACTACTCTTCTGGTTCACTAGGAATCCTACTGAAGAAAATGAACATAGGGAATGAGACATCTTTTAGTAAGAAATCGCAACTATTTGTGGATCGCAGTACATTGTTAAGGGAAAAAACCCATTGTTCTGGGAAAAGTGTTTCAACTGGAAACATAATGTTTTGCATCAAGCCAGGAGTGTTGGATGGGAAGCTTTAAAATAACATTTTTGTGCATAATTATGGAAATACAAATTTTGTTATAAGGGGAGAGGGTCTGGGTGCCCTTTAAGGAATAGAATATGGAATACTAAATCTGAATTTAAGAAAAAAAGTATTCAATGAGATATTTACTGTTTATCAAGACTAACTTTAGAAAAGATTAGTAAATGAAATTAATAATGGAAAGTCATTACCTAGCAGTATGAGACTGATGTTGGAACAAAAGGTGATACTTTATAACACAGTATGTCAGTGTCCTTGGTTTATTTATTATTGCATTGTTGAACAGTTTGTAAATTGTTTTAGGCAGTCACTGTAAGTTCTAATTATGGAATCCGCATCAGTATACATAATATTAAGGAATAATAAAGGACAGTATTGTGTGTGTATATATATGTATGTGTGTGTGTATATATACACACACACATATACACACACAGCTACTATAACATCTAAAAATGGGAAAGGACTGGAAAGACCAATGGAGAAATTTAACCTAATTTAAGATTTTTTGTTTTACAGATATGCAGCACTTAACCACATGCTAGGCTTTGTTTAAAATGCGTTTCAAATACTGTTCAATTCCCTTAAGAGATAGCTACTATTATTATCCAGTTTTACAAATGGAGAAACTGAGGCACAGATGTTGGAAAACTTAAAGACACACTGCTAGTAAGGAATGATTTGGCTCCAGAGTTCATGTTTTTAACCACTATGTTATGTTGCCTCTCCAGTGATTTTTTTCCCTATTTTTCTGTTGTTCAGTGTTGCTAACATAGACATTTAATGAAAATCAAGAAATTCCTAAACAATGAGAGATAAAGTTATCTGGCTCTCGGACTTCTGGTAATGTGAGAGCTAAACTCCCATTGAAATAGGAAGTCTGGATTGGATATTCAGAATCACTGCATTTTCTGGGACCTGGGTCCCCAAGAGGATTTACAGCAGAGTAGGTAGGGGCTGAAGGACTCACTAAAGGTTTGGGCAAGTCTCAGAAATACCCCTTGATGGGTTTAGAGGGAAGAGACACCACCACGCATGGGAGCACCATTTCTCAAGGTCTCTCTTGGATTCAGTGTCTGTACTTTGTCTTCTCTAGATGAAAAGGTTGCTTGATAATAGGAAAGATTTGAAAGGGAAGGAAGCCAAACAATCTGTCACATAGATTGAAGTCTCCATGTGCTTATAGGGGTGAGCGGGCAAGATGAACAGGAGGGATTGGGCAGCTTCTCTCCAAAGATATTTCTTATATTTCCCTAAAATAGGCTGTAATTAGGGGCTAATAGTCCATCTTGGATGGGCTTCAAGAGTGTGAGAAATCCAGTATACAAAGGTTCATTGAATTCTCCAGGGATCCATGACTCCCCAGGAGTGGAGAACCACAGCCTGCTAGGGTAATGGGGAGGTGGTGTCCGCCATCCGACTCCTATAGTGGAGCTTTCACATAGGAGCGTGACGTCCAGTCCCCTACCTTCCAGGGCTTAATGCATAGTGGTTGCCCAGTAAATGTTGCAGGAGTAAAAGTAATTGAATGGGTTTCTCATGTGATTCGTGCAAAAACCCTGGAGAGAATAGAGTCAGCATTATCTTTGTGAGAGAAAGCAGCCTAATGTGTCAAGAGTCATGCTGCCAGTATATTGGAATTATATTCTACTACCCGAAGTAACACATTTTGGGCAAATCCAGATTCTTTGCTTTTGGGGGCTCCAAAGGACTTCGTAAGTCACACAAAATATTCTGCAAGCAATAGTGACTCTGTGGCATCTTACTACACTGATGGACAGTGACTGCAATGGGGTATGGGGGGGACTTGATAATGTGGGTGAATGTAGTAACCACATTGTTTTTCATGTGAAACCTTCATAAGAGTGCAAATCAATAATATCTTAATAAAAAAAAAGTTCTGCAAGCATCCTGGCCACTTTATATTACCAAGCTTAATGTCTTAAAAAAAATACTTCTAAAAGGGCCCCCCTGTGGCCTATCCCACATCATGAGTCAAGAGAACGTCCTAGATTCTTCTTCCTCCTGGAAGGGGTACCTGTATGGACATAGGGTGTCCACTCCTCCCAGGTCTCTTATCGCCTTATTCCAGCCCACGCATGGCTCAGTTCATTGCCTTTTTGACCTCACCTTGCACTCCTCCCAACTCTGAAAACTGCTGGGCCGGGTTGGAGGTCAGCCACCAAAATCCCCTTTTCACCTTCCTACTGTGACTGAAACTTGGGTGTCCCCTGTGCACTGTCTCTTACGGTAGTTCCAACGGTGGCTGCTTCTAGACTGTTCTTTTTCCCTTCTCTCCTTTCAGCTCTGACTTGACACCAGATTATCACTGATTTCCTTTGTTGGAGTCTATAAATGGGTCACTCATCTGCATATCACAGATTGCAGCTCCTGTCTCTACCTAAAACCATACCCATCATAGTACTTTCTGATTCTTATCACCGTACAGGTGATTTTCCCATGTCCTGACCTCACAGTCCTTTGATGTCTCTGCTCATGGTTTTGTCAAGCACTCTGCCACCACCAGTCACTCCTATCGTCACCCTCAGGGCCATTTCACAGCAGTGACTAGAGCCCCACTGTATGTTTCAAGCACCTCTTCCTTGGCTAGTTGGCTGCTTAGTACGGATATTCCAACAGTTCCTTGGCTGAACCCTCCCTTACACACTCATTCCCAGTGATGACTTTGGTTCTGGTTACCCTGGGAGAGCAGAGGCGATCGGCAGTAGCTTTCCATGACCTCTCTACCTCCTTCACCCACCTTCCGGCTAGTGCCCGTCTCCTCCCCCAAGACTCAAGGGCCGCTTCAGCAAAATCCCCCTGCCTCTTACACCAGGTTTTCTCTGTACACTGGAATTTTCCCATCAACATGCAAACTTGCTTTTTTAAAAAAGAAAACCTCTTGATACCACATCCCCTTCTAGCTCCTGCATCATTTCTGTGCTTCATTTTCAAAAGAACTTTTCAAGAGTTGTCAGTTCTTCCTGTCTCCTCTTCCTTTCCATTCTGTCTTGAGCCCGCTCCAAACCTACCTTGCTGCTCCACATTGCAGATGACCTCCACTGCTAAGTCCAGTGTCAATTCTGTTTTCTTTTTCCTTGACATGATTGGCAGCATTGTAGATAACGGGTCACGTCCTCTTTGAAACGTCCTTCAGCTGGTTTTCAGGGCCTTCCTCCTTCCCTTCTGACCTAGGAAGGTGCCCACTTCGTATCTGCTCACACTCTCCTGACGACCTCATCCAAATGTGAAGCCTCCAACACCCCTGGGGCGCTGAGGACTTTCCTTTTAAGGCTATAGTTTGGCAAGTTGAAAAATGTCTACATTCTTGTAACCACTACAATCAAAACAATATTTTCACTTCTCCAAAAAGTCCCTTAATGTTTCTTTGTAATTAATTTCTCCCCTCCAAACCCTGTCACTACATACTAGAATTGTCTTATACAACTTTGCATAAGTAGAACCATACAGGGTTCTATTCTATATGCTACATCTTATGTCCAGATTCTTTTGCTCAGTGTTTTGAGGCTCATCCGTGTTATATCACTTGTCAGTTGTTCAGTCGTTTTTTTGCTGAGTAGCGATCTACTGTGTGGATAAGCCACAATCACTTATCCTGTCCACCATGGACACTGAGTTATTTCCAGTTCTTGGCAATTGTAAATAAAGCTGCAATGGACATTCTTCTACAAGACTTTTTGTGTATGCAAGTTTTAATTTATTTTGGATAAAAACCTAGGAGTAGAACAGCTGAGTTGTATGGTAAGTGTATGTTTAACGTCATTAGACACTGTCTATGGGCCTTTTAATCTGATATCTACTGTTTTCTATTCTGGGAAAATGTTCTGTTATTTAGTATTTCATCTTTTTCATCCTAAAACGTTATCTTTTAGGACTCCTATTGAGATGTTAGTGTGTCTTTATTGTTCATAGCTCTTAGCTTTTCATTTGCTAACTTTCCTCCTTTTGTCTGGGCATTTCCTCAATTTGATCTCCATTTTGCTCTATTTCCCCTGTTGTGTCTTCAACAGCTGTTTTTCATGCCTAATATCTCCACTTGGTTCCTTTTTTATGTTGTTACTCTCATTTCCTATTGCTAATACCATGGCTTCTCTCTTTAAATGTATTTAATAGACTAATTGAAGGTTTTGGTCCCTGTGCTACTATATCTGCTTCTGATGAAACCTGTAATCCAGTGTCTTTTTAATCGTTATGCTCACAGAATTGCTTACCACGTTGTCCCGTGAGCTCATTTCCCTTGGTATCAGCCACTCCATCAGTTGTTATGCGAACAGGTGAGGACCAGATCCCTGTCCCCATAGACCCTACTGAGATCAGGGGTTGGGGGATGGATTTTGGGATGGGGACGTTGAGGCATTAAAGAGCCAGTCAATGACTCCTGACCCCCGCAAGAACACTCCTTGGAGTGTGGTTCACCAGCCCAAGGCTTTGAGGAAGCAGGTGGAGAAACACGTGCTTGAGGTAAGATAGTCTCAGCTACCCACAAGCATAGGCTACTGCCGTGCCTCGATTCCACTCCTCAGGAAGCCTGAGCCGGCGTCTGGACCACTGCAGCGATGGGGACACTGTTCCGAGACAAAGGCAGGGGAGGAGGAGAAACAAACTCCAGAAGTTCTTTTTTCTATTCTATGCATATAGCTGAGGTGCGCTGGCTGCTGTCCCAGCCACCCAGCCCAGCTCGCCAGACTCCGGGGAAGGCGGCCCGCCTGGATAACGGGGGAACCGGTTCCGACATCTCGGTTACCTAGGAGACGCGGCGGGGCCGCGCAGCCTTCCGGGACCTGTAGTCCGGCAGTCCGGCCCTGCTCTTGCTGGTCCCGGAGGACCGCGAGCATCGGACTACAATCCCAGCAGGCACCGCGGCGCGCCCCGGCGGGGCGCGGGCCTGGGAGAGCGGAGGCCCGTTGCCGCTCCTCTGTTTTCGCCGCGTACAGCAGCCCCGTCGGGGACTCGTTCCCGGAGCCGCTGTCGCTCCCGGGCGGCGCCCTTGGCTGTCAGAACCGGGCCGTGCACGTACTCCATGGACACGGACGTGAGTCGCCGCTCCGGGACCGACCAGGTGGGCGGCCCTCTGCGAAGTGAGTATTAGATCAACAGGCTGGCGGTAGGCCAACCGCTGCTGGGACGAATAGAGTCCCATTGTGCAGACACAAAAGTTTTAATGTTGCGAGAGAAAAATAAAAGAATTAGAATCTATAGCAGTTAATTTACAAACGTTGCCAAATGACAGAAATGAAAATGTGAATTAAGAAACACAATCCTAGTTGTTCCTGCATGGGTAGACACCCAGAAATGTGTTGATGTAAGTTTCCCCCAATTAATCCACACACTTAAGAAACCCAAACCCAATGGCTTTTTTTACCTTTTTGAAAATAATGACTTTTAGAAAGAAATGAGCTTTGAAGCCATGAAAAGACACGGAGAAACCTTGGATACATATTACTAAGTGAAAGAAGGCTTCATTCTGTATGACTCCAGCTAATGACATTCTGGAAAAGGCGAAACTACGGGGACATTTAAAAGATTTGGGGTTGCCAGGGGTTAGGGTGGAGGGAAGGATGAGTAGGTGAAGCACAGATATTTAGAGCCTAGCAACTATGCCATATGATACTATAAGGTTGTATACGTGTCACAATACATTTGTCGAAACCCGTAGAATGTGTAGCACCGGGAGTCAACCCTAACGTGAACTATGGACTTTGATTATGCTGTCTCAGTGTAGGTTCATAACAAAAATACTTCTGTGTGTGGGAGGTTTGTTGACAGTTCTGGGGATGGAGGGTCAGGGTATGCGGGAACTCTGTTGTGGACCTAAAAGTTGCTCTAAAAATGTTTTTCTAGTTTTAATTTTAAAGACAGCTTTTTTTGAAATATTCACATACCATAGCATTTAACCTCTTTAAGGTGGTTGTGCAGGGATCACCATCATCTCAGGCTGGAGCATTTTTCATCACTCAAAGGGAAACTAGCAGCGGTCACCCTGCCCCTAGCCCTTCCCTTGAACCTTCACGGACAATGGTGACAATATGTGGCCCTTTGCTTCTGGCTTGTTTTACTTGGCATAATGTTTTCATGTTTCCTCAGTGTCGTAGCATATACTGTATTGTATGTACTCCACCCCTTTTTATGGGTAAATAATATTCCAGCATATGGATATGTCACACTTGGTTTATCCATTTGTCAGTTGATGGCCATTTGGGTTGTTTCCACTTTGGGGTTTTTATAAATAATGCTATGAACACAGTGTCCTTTCAGCCGATGGTCAGTCAGATGTGGCTACCAGAGGGGACACAGGAGAAGAACAGGAAGAAACAAAGCTTATTATGCTCACAGGCCCTAGGGAGGTGGAGTCATTGCCTGCCTTGAAGGGCCACACAGGAGGCGTCCCAGGGAGCGGGCTCGACCAACCGGTGGGGAGCAACGAGGACCTGTGGTGGGTGCCTGTCCTCCCTGGGGGTCAGGATGCAGCACCCAGGGACAGGGGTGAGGGAGTGTCGTAGGTGCACTTGCATGTTACTAGGTCATGCTCAGGGGAGGGCAACGGAGAGCCTATGGCAGACGCCAGCTTTATGTGTCACCTGGTCACCTGGGTGGGATGCTCACAGCCTGTTGGTGGGATAATAAGCAGCAGAAAAATAGGAAGTTAAAATATAATTTACAATACAGTGAAATGTGTGTAGGCGGTAAAAAGGTACAAACTTCCAGTTATAAAATAAATAAGTCTGTGGGGGGGCACGGGGAGGGCTGTACAACACAGAGAAGACAAGCAGTGATTCTACAGCATCTTACTATCCTGATGGACAGTGACTGTAATGGGGTATTGGGGGGACTTGGTGATGGGGGGAGTCTAGTAAACATAATGTTCCTCATGTAATTGTAGATTAATGATACCAAAAATAAATAAATAAATGAGTCATGGGGATGTAATGTGCAGCATGAAGACTACAGTTAATACTGTATATTTGAAAGTTGCTAAGAGAGTAGATCTTAAAAGTTTTCATCACAAGAAAAAATTTTGTAACTGGGCAGTGATGGATGTTAGCTAGACTTACTCTGGTGATCATTTCTCAATATATACAAATACCAAATCATGTTGTACACCTGAAACTAATGTAACATTATATGTCAGTTACCACTCAATGCAAGAAAATTTGCCATACAGCTAATGCTGTGGCATCTCGATGTCATTAATGATAGTAATTGGGATGGATGATTCTTGCCACCTGGATTGTGGAGATGTTAAAGGCAACTGGGACAACTCAACTTAAGCACAAAAAGTAAACTTTGATAAAGGTGACAACTAGGAAGGCTGTTATTAGGCATATGACAAGGATTTGGAAACCAGTTCTCAACCAGGCACTCACTTAGTGGGAAAAAGCCAAGAGACCAGGTCAGGCTCCTCTGGATGTAAGGGAATGTCTTTGAAAGCTTGGCTATATTATGGAAGGCCTGTATCTCTTGGCCTGATCCTCATAGTCTGATCAGATACTCTCCACACCTCTGTCAGCATCATTAACCCACAGTGGTGTTCAAAAGCCTTGCTCCCATTCTTCCAGCTGGGCTGGGTGCATGGAATGTCAGAACCAAGACAAAAACCAGGTTTGGGAAGAACCAGGTGTGCACAGACCTATGGGAAAGGATTGGGCAAGGCAGTGGTTTGGCAGAACCAACTCCCAGGTCAGCAGTGATCCTGGGGAGCTTGGCAGTCCAGAATCAGGTCTAAAAGGTTGCAGTGCCCATGGGAAGATCCGCAGCCCCAAAGTCCAGACACAGCAGGTGAATTCATCCAGGTGGGTTTGATCCGAGGCAGTTCTGAGATTGCAGGGTTTACAGAGGGAGCGTATGGTCCCCAGACGGAGCAGGCTAGGGGAAAGATAGGGTGGAGAGTGGGGTGTGGTAAGAATAAAGCACGAACCTGGCTGTCGTCAACTGCTTGGGTCTATCTGGAGGGTCTCAGCCTCGCCGTCTACCAGACGTTCAGAAAAGATAGCTGCCCTTTGGGGTACAGTGCAGGTGGAACCACTTCCTAATCCTGGGAGGCTTCATCAGCATCCGAAGATGTGGTCTGTTCTCTTACTGTAACTGGTAGAGGTGAATCAAAACCTGCCTTGCGTATTGTGACAACCACTGGATGGATGAGGACCAGCGCAGGGGACAACCTTCTATGCCATCTACTTTCCAACCCTATTTCCACATGTGGAGATGATTGAGTTTATCTCCTTTAAAGAAACTTTTGGAGGCAGCCACATGGGCTTAGGTTTCTGAGCCGTATCCCACAGGTTGGAAGTGCTGTTTTTGAACTTTCATGGATTATATCATCTAGCCATCACTATAACCCCATGAGATAGGTACTATTTCTTCCTATTTTACAGGTGAGGAAACTGAAACTCAGAATAGTTAAATAACTTGGTCAGGCTCCAGCATCTAGGAGGCCAGAGAAGTGACGTCTTCCCTGTGTGCTCACAATGTGTCCCGTTGAATCATGACATGTCTTCATGCCTCCTCACTGACCTGTGCTCTCCCTGAATGCGAGCAGGTGGTCTTACTGGTATCTGCCCTGCAGGCTGAGCCCCACGAGCTGCACGCCCCCCTAATCCCATCAGTCCCCTCTTGGCTGACTCGGTTCTGTACGTGGCAACACAAGCTGCCCTAACACTGAACCCAAACATTCTGTAGGGAGCGGAGCGCATTTCCTCAGATGCTGGAGTTCAGCTGAATATTTCCTCTCACCCATGTGATAAAAGACCTATAGTTTTGGAGTGATGGACCAGGATCAAAGTTCTTTCACCTTTTGGTTCTTGTTTCTAATGGACTGCCCACTTCATTTATGCTTGCCTTATGCAGGTGAGTTCAACGAGTTGGACAAACAACAGGCTTAATGGGTAGCTGCAACCATTGCTGTAACTTGTTTCAGGGGAAGTCAGAAAGGGGTAGTTACAGTTCACTGCTACAAGTTTTCTTTTCAAGGATCTAAGCCGTCAGAAGCACCCACAGATGTCATCCAGCAGCCCAAACTGTTCACTAAGGAAACCCGATGATCTCCGATTCCAGGGGCTTCCTCAAGACTGGGCGGTAAGTCACTGCACTGCTCATTCCGTGCAATGAGAACTGTAGTCTGAGGTCCTCTTATGGGCTCAATGAATGTGTCTATTCTTGTGTATTTGTTGGTAGCACAGTCTGTAAAATAAGATGGTTTGAAAAGCAGTGCTTAGACATTAAATCATATATTCCTCATTCTCTTGAAGCTGTACTTTCTCCTTGGGGACCGCTACTTCTCTGTCATTTCCCCTTACTTAGCATATACAGAAACCCCGATCCCATCCGATCGTATGGATGTCTCTGTATGACTTTCACTGTAGTTTGGTCCACGTGGGTGGTGGAGCCTGTGACTCTGGACACAGACTCTTGGCAGGCGTGAAACATTTACGTAATCATTTGTGTTCCCTGCTTTGCATCTGAGTCTGAGAGGGAACTCTGTCTATGTCAAAACAGAGGAACCGACCCTGACAATCTGTAGAGATGTGGAGTGCTTACAGACCTTAATTCTGTGTAAGGGAAGTGCTATCTGCACAGTGTAACAGCACCTACTTTGTGTCAGAGGAAAGCACCGCCTGGGGCTCTCTCTGGCTCTGGCCCTTTGGCCTGGGAGGAGGTGGACCTCTCAGCTCTGCACCGGGTCTCTCCAGGTCCTTGGCCTCAGCAGCGCCACTGCACAAGCAGACCAGAGACCAAGCGCATTGTGTTCTCAACAGTCCCTATGCATGGAAGGAAGCACTGGAGACAAATGGAGCATTATGTTTTTTAAATTACAGGCGACGTATTTCTACTTGGCATTGGTATAAATTTATTAACAAAATTTACCATCTTAGCTCTTAGGCCCCCTTGCCTAGTATCAAGTTATTTCCTTACTTTCCTAAATCTGTCTTAAACCTCTCTTCTGTCCGGTCCCTTCAGTGGCCTTCTATCCCTGAGTCCTGCTGAGCCCGTGCAGTTCTAGGGCTGCAAGTCAGGGGGCCTGGGAGGCTGGGTGGGCCCCAGGCAGTCCCCAGAGCCGCCGCGAGGTGTGGCCCCGGAGGGCGCTCTGGTGGGCGTCACCTGGCAGCCCCTTTGTGCCCATTAGGAAAAGGCGCCCCATCTTGATGGTTGAATTAGTAAAGATGCTTCCTGGGGCAGATTAGAAAATAGCACAGTCTCAAAGCATCAGGAAATAAAAAAGCATGATTAAGAATTCCATCCATCCCAAGCACATTGTTTGTCTTCTTAAGCTCAGCTGTGAATATTTCATCCCCCACCCCCACAAGGCCCAGAGACTGAGCCCAGCCAGGGTGCCAGAAGGGCTGCATCCCAGGCCTTATTTTGGTGCTGACTTGCTTTGTGAGCTTGCGCCACAGGCTTGCTGAGACCCCTGGTGGCCTGAGCTTTGGGTCCCACGTGTCTGTTTTGATACGGAGATAAAGGGTGGAATTGTCTGGTGTTATCGCTGGGAGACTCCAGTTTTCTCCAGTAACCCTTAGCTCTTGGTTCTGTGGAAAGACGCCTGACTCATAAACACGGGAAATACACATTGAAAACACACCATAATTCCAGTTTTCAGCTATGTTGAAAGTAGGCAAAAATGCTTCATAACAATCTTTATTGGCAAAGGAATAAAGAAATAACAATCTGATATCTCCTTTTAAGTCATTGAAGTATAATGCATGTGCAGTGTCCTGTTTCAGGTGTGCATCATCCCATTTATTTGTAGGGGAGGAATGAATGAGCGCAGCTTCTATAGATGGCAATCGGGAATTCTTATAAATATAAAAGAAATGCACCCACTTTTTGACTCAGAGTGTTGAAAAATACCTGGGATTTTAAAAAACCAGGGATGGTAAAAGATGCAGACACAGAAATGATGGTCATGAGAGAAGTTAATACTTACAGATTCCTGGAAACAGGAGACAAAGCCCACCACCCAGAGTGGCGAGGGACGCCAGGGGGACCGGGGTTGGCGGGGAGGCAGGAGGGGTGGGAGGGCCTGGCCCGGGGCCTGTCTCGGGGTTTTCACCTGGAAGGAGCGGGCAAGGCAGGTCAGGTGCATGGGGTGATCGAGTGGGACAGTCTGAGTCATGGGGTGGTGGCCCGCGGGTGGCCCTGGGGGGATCGGGGCAGAGGGCCCAACGTCTGCACGTGGGGGAGGCTGGTAGAAGCTCCAGGTTGGCCTGTCTGTCAGAGGTGCACTGCCAGGGGGTTCCCTGCTCTCCCGGGGAGTAGCCCTGGGAGGGGAGGCTCTTCAGGGTCCAGGCCCCAAGTGCCAGAGCATCAGCAATACAAGAAATAAGAAAATAGGAGCAATGTATCCAGTAATTCCATTTCTAGGAAATTTTATAAAAAATATGCTTCTCCATTTCCCTAGGCCGCTCACCCCGCACCTGCTTGGTACTTCCTCTTTCTCGACCCACAACAGCCCGACCCTGTGCCCCAGCCTCACTCTCCGGGGATGGCCTTGATTCCCCCACTGCTGACAAGATGCAGGCAGTTAAAAGAGTGCCCGCCCGCCCCATCTGCCTGCGGTTATGCCTCGTTCTCTGTCTCCCTCCCACCTGGGCAAAGCTGCCCCACGCTGTGCCCGTTTCTGCCCTCTCGGCCCACTCACAACACTTCTTTCCTTTTAAATCACAATTTAAAGCACCAGCCCCATTCTCATATGAACACGCTGTCAATCTTCCTATCTTAAAAAGCAAAACCCATCTCGTGACCCCTCACCCCCCTGGGACCTGCCCCATGTCTCTTCCCTACTTGAGCCCCGAGCGCCTCAAAAGAGTTTCCAAGACTGGACGTGTCCAGACCCTCTCCCCCTGCCCTCTCTGCAACCTGTCTCAGTGGAGCCTGCATCCCCCGCCATGGGCTGTGTCCACACAGCCCGCATCTGAGGTCTGCAGTGCGGTGTTTTACACCGCAGTCCCGGTTCTTCCCCTCCTGCCAGGCTGGCTTTTCACTGACGTGTGAACCACCGGGCATTTTTCAGCTCAGCGGCTGAACCCTTCCTGTTCCAGCGAAGGGACAGAAAGCGAGGGAAGGCCGAGGGCGGGGTGGGCGGTCACCTCAGCCTGCCACATTCCACAAGTGGCGGAGTAACGTACTCGATTTGTGCTCAGTCTGTACAAACAGTGGCTCTGGTTCTTCAATTTCAGGTGATGGGAAGGCTGATGCTCCTGAGCCTGCGGAGCCAGCCACGGCCTGGTGGCTCCTTCCACAGCCCTCAGCACGGCCTCCTGGCGAACAGGCTTGTGGAATGGCATCTTAACTGCCCGTAACACCCCTTCAAGTAGTACCTCGCACCCCAGGCCGTCAGGCCACACTGGGGCCAGAACTCAGGCCGTGTTCCCTGGGGCTGCACAGATGGCAGAGGCAGCTCTCTCCAGTCACCGGTCCGGGTCTACAGAGCAAAAGCAGGGCCTTGACCAAGGACAGGGGGCAGACCAAAGAACGGGAGTCAGGGATTACGTGGGAATTCAAGTTACGTGTGCTCACACAGGCTGTGCAGTCTAGCCTCCGTATTTGTAACAATGAAGAGTGTTACATTTTTTATGGTATTTCTAACAAATATGTTACCTGATAGACACAGCTACGGTGAAATTTTATGAGAATTTATTTTCTTTCCATTTTTAGCACTGATTCTGCATAGACCTGCCCTTATGCAAGTGATTATCATTGCATTGCCCTGACGTGGGGAATCACTATTTCCTATGTGATACAGTAAGTATGTGCTAAGTAACCTTTGCCATCCTTGAGACGACACAACAAACTAACCAGGTCGTTATTTAGGATGATGGTGGTGATTCTTATAGTTGCTTAATTATTATAGTCATTATAAATTTCCAGACCTATCTGTTTCAGAATGTGGATTGTATGCGTGTTGGGTCATGATACAAATGAAAAATAAAACAGAAACAGGACAGAAAACAATCTAGAATAGGCAAGACTAGGAAGCATTACATGTATTAAAGTAAATGTTGATTTTTAAACTTTTCAGACAGACACATACAGAACTGTGAGGTAAAATGTGTTTCTTATTGTGGATCATGGTCAAAAAACATGTGAAGGCACCGTCTGCGATGCTGGCCCCGCGTGGGGTCCTCAGGGGAGCCGGATGCGCTGGAAGGACCGGAGCGCACAGGGCGCGAGCCCGCGGCCACTGTCTCGTCCGCTGGACACTTCCTGGCGGTGTCTCCGGGGCGAGGCGTGTGGGGAAGGCCCTTCATTCCGGGCACACAAATAAAGCTTGTGGTCAGGCTCTCTCAGCTGATGTGACCTTTTTGAAGTCAGTATCAGACGCGTGTGAGCCTCACGGTGCCGTCACGCTTCTCCCAGCAGATTCCCACTCCCGGCTGAGTCCCAGGACCCCTTACATCCCGTCGGAAACAGTGCGCCGAAGTCCCGGTCTGTTTGCTCTGGAGGGTCAAGCATGGCCGTGAGGAACACACCGCGATGTGGACGCTTTCTCAGGCAGCTGTTGCTAGGACTGCCTTGGCAGGGGATGCGGGCTCCACCGAAACAGGCTGGGGGGGCGTCTGGGGACATCCAGCCTTGGACGTAGAGGTGGAAGTGAAGGAAGTCTGCTAAGGAGAAGGTGTGAACAGGACCGTGGCCTCTGGGTTGTCCAACCTGGCGATGTCTTTGACTCAACTTACAGAACTGCAGTTTCAGTGTATTTCATTAATACAAAGCTATTAACAGATACAAAGTTTTCTAAGATGACTCACTGCAGCTCACCCTCACTTCCTGTGCTCGGCTAGGTCGCTGACCTGACGTCCACCGTTACAGCTTTTCTCTTGGTGCTCCCCACAGCCACGCACGCTCCCCTAGGGGTGACAGGAAGCACACATGCCCCAGGGGATGTGTTTTCTATGTCCAAACTTTAGTGGTTAATTTTTCCCAGAAGTAGATTTTGAAAATACTATCGGGGAGTTTTCTTTCATTTAAACCAGGGACATAATATTATAATGAATTAAATTATATTTCTGGTATTGATAAAATACTTGTACTTAATGTGAATTTTGATAACACCACTCTTCAATTTTTAAATATACTGTCACCTTCTTTAATGTTTACGAAGAGAACAACTGTTCCCAAAATACATAAAAACATGTATATAGGGTCTCACATTTGTCTTTTGACTTGGGCTCCCAGGTGCTTCACTGGAGCACGGCGGGTCCTGTCTTTATTTAAATTTTTGATACTTAAGTTATCATGGATTTGTCCCATTCATTTCAACTTTCACAGAGTATTGAGTCAAAACATTTCTCATCATTACTGAGTTTTTTTAGGTGCGCCATCACATTTGGCCCCCGAAGCCGGCACCTTACACCCCTCACCCACATCCTGGCCTTGCCTGAACTTCTCGATCACCTCCAACAGCGTCTGCTGTCAGGCCGTTCTTCACGCTGCACAGCCTGCGTCTGGACTGCTTTCCCTGCCGTCTTTCCTCTGTTACAGCCTCTTGGAACACAAATAAGCTAACCCTATACTTATTTTTTATTACATGAGTGAAATAGAATTAGGAAGGGAAGTATGTTTGGAAAAACTAAAGATTCTGTTATCTATTTCCACATCAAAGAGAAATTAATAGCTGTCTGATCATCCCCGTCCAGGGTCAGACAAAAAACTCAGTCATCGAGATAAATAATGTTTTGATGCAATACTCTATAAAATCTATATTCATTCCCAAAATATCCATGATGAATGCAATATCATTTTGAATACAAGATCAGAAGTGGGGCTGGGCCAAGCCATATTGGAGACTGATTAAAATAAGAATCTGTAATAGTTATGCTGTCTGTACTTAAAATGTTGCTATTTTGTTCATCACGGACTTTCTTTCTTTTGTGAAATACACAGCATCTTGACCGTGGGGTTTTGTGCCCAGCACGAGCCGTTCACTTCACCCTGGTCCTGGCGCTGTCAGTCACCCGTCCTGCTGCCTGCACAGGCCTCGACACCGTGATGGCTCCGGTTTCAGTCTGTTCTTGCCTCTCTTCCCCACATGCCACCGTGTGCTGGTCACTCCTTTTCAGTCAAAAAGTCATGTGATCAAGACACGACTTATGGTGAAAATCCTGCTCCTGAATCCATCTGTGTCATTCTCCAGTCGGCGGGTACAGGCCGAAGAAAGGCAAAAACTCGTGTCGCTTTATAAAAATGTCAGGATACCATTGTCGGGAGACGAAGAGGAGGGCTCCGGGGGTGAGGCCCGGGGTGTCCACTTACCTGCTTCCAGAGAACGGGGCGGGGCTGGAGAAGCTCGTTCCTGCGGGCAAAGGGCCGGCCAGCGAGTCTCGTCGGCCCCAGAGTCACCTGAACCCCGGGCCGCAGGGTTCGGCGTCCAGAGGCAAAGCTGAGCGGAGTTGGTGGGTTTGAGTTGGGAAAGGTGAGTATCACGCCTAGAGAAATAAACTTCCCGTCGAAGTACCCAGAGGGGCGAATGGCCGTCGGGTTGCCAGGTTCCTCCTGCAGGGCGATTCCAGGCGTGAGAACAGAGGTCTGGACACTAAACGTCCCCCTCCGGCGCGCCCAGCCCTGCGGCCGAGTCCCGAGCAAGATCGCTAGTCCCAGGTCCGAGACCCTGTAAGAGAGATGCCCGCCATGCCAGCGGATCCTTGTAGGGCGGGGGGTGGGGGGGCGATATACGTGCTCACCTAAACCTCATTTTGTAGTTCTGAGACTCGGGTACCTGCTCAAAAAAATTCAAAGGCAAAACTGTAGAGCGGCAGCTTCTGTCGGCCGCACTGACCGAGCCCGCGTGGGTGTCCTGCGCAAACCGCACGGGGACCTCAGACAGGGCCCACGGCCAGGGGCAGAGGGGGGCCGGCGCCTGCTCGGGCCCCCGGCCCCGGCAAAGGAAGCAGGGTCTTCACTGTCTTTTCGTTACATCGAATTAGAACTTTTTTATATTCTTTCCCTCCCTGCCCCTGCCTCATGCTTTTACAAAGCTTGAATACAGAAAGTGTGAGAATAATTTTAAAATTCAGTTTTCACTGTCCTTATCAGACAAATAACATTCATTGTATCCTGAAAATCCCACTATTTATGCCTTTCTTTTTCCATACTTTTCACCCTTTGAAGAATTGGATATTCTTTTCGTCTTTATCTCCCAGCTCTAATCATTTCCCTTTTATTACCACTAACTTTATTAATATAAAACTTTCCAGGAAAGGAAAAACTACCACTGAATAGAAAACTCTTCCATTTATGAAAACTGATCTAATCAAAATTAGATTTGAAAATTACTTTGGCTTTGTTAATTTTAAAAATTAACAATGAATAAGAGTCCAATATATTTAAACATAAAACATGTAACTGATTTGTCTAAATAGCATTTTAAGCCAATAGTGTTTAGGTGGCATGGATGCTATGAATAACAACCATGTCTGAATACATTTCTTATAGCTAATAAATTCAATGACAATGCTATCTCTACATGAAATCTGTTTCTTTTTATGGAGAATCTCTTATGCCCAACTTAACTGGGATATGCTGGTCTTTTTTAAGGCTTTTAATTTGATGTGTTAATATTCTCCAGAGGCTCCAAGTTTTCATAGTGAATTGTCTCCATTGAATGAGACTCCATTACTTGGGAATGTGGAGTCTTTTAATGACAAAACAAAACGATGAGCTTTAAAAATTTGCCAATTCAAGAACTTCCGAATTATCCTTGGTGCACCAAGGATTTTTTTTTCAAAGAAAATACTTCACTGAGATCTTCACTTTTTCCACCATCCAGTATTTCTGCTGCCACCTTTGAATCACTACTAGTCATAGTTAATGGATTTCTTTTAAGAAATATCTTCTAATTTGGGTATAATTGACATGTAATTGGTATATAGCATATTAGTTTCAGGTGTACGACATGATGATTCCATATTTGTATACACTGTGAACTAATTACAAGCCTAGTTTCTAATTTTAAGTAACATCTCACCTTACATAGTTACAAGAATCAATAGCTTTCTGTAATTTGTATTTTACAACTGTTTTTCTGAGGTAATATCAAATCTTCATGCAGTACAATACCTGTAATCACAGGGGAAATGATAATCAATTCCCAAGGAGGTGAGATCCTGGATTTAAGATACCCCTATATTTTGTGAATCAGAGCAAACAGGCTCCACCAACCTGCAGATGTTATTCTTTATCAAATTAGCATTACATTCACTGTTATGTTTTTAAGATCAATGTCAGGTCCTAAAAGGAATCAAATAAAAGAAGACTGAATAGAGATATTAAATGGATGCAAGTGTTGACAATAATAATACAGATCCAGTTTTGGACTCCTGTTTTGCACCCCTCCATCCTCCTGTTATGCCCCGATCTGGGGTATTTTTCCTCTTGTCTCTGACTGATGATACACAGGTCAGTCTCTGAAACTGGCTGTGATGCTTCAGAGCGTGCGTATCCAAACTGCAGTACAATCGTTTTATTAGTTTCCTGTACCAGTGGCCATATTTTGTGGATGACCCACGAAATGATTTGTGCATTTAGATCTGTGGTCTTCCGGAGTATCTGAAAGATTATGTTTCCCTCTGAGAGCATGCCGGTCTTCACGGACTCTGAACTATGTCTCCAACTCCTGGATCATCAGTTAAAGACAGTACGGCCCCTTTAAAGAAGCAGCTAACTCGCTCCTCCGTCCTGGCCCCCAGTCTCCGTTTCCCAGCGCCCTTCGCAGTGAGGCGGTGTCTTTACTGGAGGTCAGCGGCCGGAGACCTGACCCGCAGGCCCTGAGTGGGTGGCTACCACTTTACCCAGAATGCTTTGCAAGGGACGGCTCCTTGAGAGACAAACAGCGTCGGGGCGGGACTTCCGGCGTCGCCTTGGAGGCTGTCGGTTTGGTTGCGCCGAGTTGCGTTCTCCTCCGCAGAGGTGAGCAGAGAAGAGGCGCCGTCCGCGCTGCACAGAGGCGGCTCTGCGGCCCGGCGGCGCCGCCCGCGGGCCCCGCGCCAGGGCCGGGATCGGAACCGCCTCTCCCGGGTCGCCTCGTCACCGAGTCCGACGGCGGCGGCCGCGCTGAGCGGCCCGGCCCAGGTACCTGCCCATCCCCGGGGCTCCGCCCCCATCCTCGGGCCCCGAGTGCGGGCCCTGCTCGCGGCCCGGGACGGAGAGGCGCCCGTGGGCGGGGCCCGTGTCCTGAGCGCCGGCGTGACGGCGCGTGGGGCCGGTTACGGGCGGGGGTCCCGCGCGCGCGGAGGTCGGAAGTGCGGCCGAGCCGGGAGGACTCGGGAGTCCGGGGAAACTGGGTCGGCCTTCCGCCCGCAGGGAACTGTGAGGCGGAGGCGCGCCGGGACTGGCGGGAAGAGGGGTTTACCTCTTTTCTGAGGACCCCGGCAGCCGTGGAGGGTTGTGAACCGAAGAGGGGCACAGTCTGTTAGGGTTTCGAAAGTTTCGCTAGAGGTACTGAGAAGGAGAAGAGGGTGGAGAGGGGGTGATGGGGACAGTGAGGTACCGAGAGGTTGAGTCTTTGTTCAAGGTCACACTGCTCGTCAGAGGTGACGTTGAGCGCTGAGGCCCAGAGGCTGGTCAGCCAGGCCGACGTCACCTGACTCCAGGGGCAGTGACCCATGCAAGGCCTGAGCCCATTAAAACCCCCCTGAGACTCATTCCTCTGACGCCTTCCACTTCAGACGGCCGTCCGTGACTGCAGAAGCGCTTATGTAAACACAGGGTAGTGGCGGATGGCCCAGTGCCTTGTTGATTCTAACCCCCCACCCTCATGTTCTCTGGTTTTCTGTGACTTAAAATGCTTTTTCTCCAGTCCTTGCGTCTGGGGACCCTGGAGAAACCCCAAGCCCGGGGTCTTAAGTCTTATCCCAGGCTTTATATAGAAGTGTTCCCATTACTGGCAACCATTGTAAACATGCGTAAAGTTAACCCAGGAGCTGGTACTAGGATGTCGATATGTTTAAAGGTAAAACTGATGAGAGGGAAGAAATGGTACTACGCAGATCCTACCTGGCTCCATCTGGGTACAGAGTGGAGACTAGAGTGTGGGCCCGAGGGAGGAGGAAGATACGGGCAGGGGCTAACGCCACAGTCCAGGTGAGAACTCTCCGGAGCTGTGGCCCAGGGGATGTGGTTGTAATCCCGCTGGTGTTTTAAAGGCGGCCTACTGGATTTTCCGATGTGGATTTTCTAACGTGGATGGTGAGGGGGTTTTAGTTGCATTTCCCTGATGTTTAGTGATGTTGGGCATTTTTTTCACTTATCTTTGGTAAAATGTCTACTCATCTTTTGTTTTTTAAGATGAATTTCAGGTGTTAACCTTTTCATTAATAAGATAGTGAAACAACAAACCCTTATGTGAAAACTTCATTTATTGTTTAGTGATATGACTTCATTGCCATAAGGAATTACTGTATTCAAATACCAGAAGAGTATTTCCTAAACGTTTTTGTATGCAGTGGCCACATACAGCATATGCTTTTAGGTTTAATCTGCATTATTTATATACTCTCCGTCACTTTAAGCCTAGATAGTCAACAGTTCAGTATATCAAGCCATGATTTGTAGTATTGTCAATTTCCATAGTGTAAACTCTCCCATTATGGCCAATTTAAAACTGCCCAATATGATTTCATTGAAAATGGAGTTGGGAAGAGTTGCCAGTAGCCGGTACCATATTCTGTTTCACTATACTGATAGCGTAGCTGCAATTAACATCAGGAACATAGAAAATAACACTGTAATATGATTAGGAAATCAGAGGCTTCTATATTTTATTTTAAAAGCTTAATGGAGGTATAATTGACTTAAAATAAGCTGTACATACTTAAAAGAGTACATTCTGATGTCTTGATACATGAGTATACCTTGAAACCAAAACTTTCCTCCTGTCTTTAAAATTCATCCTACTCAGCATATAAAATCACTGGTACAATGACATGTTCTATCTTTTGTTATGGCTATTTAAAGTATACACAGAAAAGGAAAAAAGACTGTTATGAAGCCAGATGACCCTTTCCCCACCTTCTATTGTCATTTATCATTTCATAGTCATTCTTGTTTCATCTGTTCCTGGCTATACTCGTGGATTAGCTTATTTATAATTCCATGTCCTATCATTTAATGCATATGTTCAGAATGCACTTTAAAAATGTAAGGTATCCTTCCTAACCCAGTAGTTACAGCAAAAATAACTGTAATGCTCAGTTGTCTTAAAATGTTGCTTTACTAATTGCAATCAGAAATCCAAAATAAGTCCTCACAGCTTTCTATATTTGTGCCTCATAAGCTTCTTAACATGTAGGGTCCACTTAACTTTGTTATTTATTTGTTGAAGTTGCTGAGGCATTTGTTGATTCAGACTTCCTACATTCAAGTTGTGGCTTGAGTGTCTGATACTGTCTAACTGCTGGTAATCCTTTCCATAGCCCTGTACACTAGAAAGTGATTAGAGGGTGGTGAGGTTTGGTCCCTGCAGGCAGGTGATGTCGACTGTTGGGGAAACGGCTTTTTCCCAATCCCAGAAATCCTCTGCAGGGAGGTAGTAGTCTGAAAAGTTACACTTTGTTTGCAGATGAGTTAGGTAAGCGCAGACACAAATTTTAAGAGGAGGAAATTGGAGTTTCCCCTTCCCTTTTCTCATTTACCTTAGAAAACGTAAGTATTTCTGCATCTCTCTAAAGGATGGGTCTCTCTTTATCCTTCATTAGTATGAAAGTCTTAAGTACCTGGGAACCATCTCTTTAGAATAAAAACAGCTTTAGAGCATTTTGAAATGCAAACATCAAGAGCCCCCTACCTCGTAGTCCCTGTGGAAGGGGGCAGGAGCTCCATCTTGGTGGACACCTTGTTCTGACACACAAAAGTACCTCTTGTTCATAAAGATATGATGTTTTTGTTTTTCCCCTGGATAAGGGCAGTTAGCTAACACAGTCAGCCCAATTACCAGGTAAATTTAGGAATAACTATATGTGACAAATGGTACTGTCAAATTCTCTTAACTTGGCTAGCTGTTTTTTGTTTTTTTTTCAGGGCCGTTTCCTTACCTTTAGACTAGACCTACATTTCATGCTTTTAAGATAAGGAATGAGATAGAATTCTGTTTCAGAAATGACAAGATTAATTTGTTAAAGGATTATTCTGCTGCCTCTTTGCCAAACAAACCATATTTAAAGTTTCTCAAGTATTGCCCCTAGTTTCAGTTCAGGGCAGCCACGGGAGTGTACTGCTGGGTTCTCCATCAGCAGGGATCCTTTTGTGAGGAGTGCAGCTGGCCAGCAGCCCCCAGCTGTGCTGCCTTGGGGATCCACTGTGGCCGTCCAGCCACCTCATTCTGGGCTGGCTGTTCTCAGCCAGTGACTGAGCATGGCACTAGTTATTCTTTATCTTCAAACCTGCATACGATGGGTTGTTATCTACTTAGCTGTATAGAGGGAGTTCTTTTTTTGCCTTTGCAGTTTCTTAACACATTGCCTGTGATGCATATCAAATTCTGGTCTAAAGCTTAACAGAAGTGTTTCCTGTCTCCACTGCCTCTGTGGAGAGGATTTCTGGGATGGGAGGAAATTTTGTCTCCCAGCAGTCGCTATCACATGCCTGTCTGCAGGAGCCAGACCTCCCTCCTCGTGCGTGTCATTCTCTGGTGTCCTGTACGGAAGGGTGACTAGTTATGCAGTATCAGACTCAGTAGGCCGCATCTAGAATGTGACACTGAGATGAACAAGCACCTCAGCAAATTCAACGAACAGGAATAAAAACTGAGTGGAACCTATATAGGTAAACAGAATTGTGATACAGCTAGTGAAAGCTGTAAGAATACATTTGGTCCTGACTAATCTGCCTTAAACACATTTTGAGACAATTCAGCATTGTTAATTACCATATTTTAAAATGTTTTCATTTCATGTGAGTTACTGGGGTTATGAGGGAGTCCTCAAATTTTAAAAATGCTTTCTGAAGAGATTATGCTCTAAATGGTATGTCAGGGACTAAAAATAACCCTCTAGTGTACATGAAAGTATGGCATAAAAGGATAATGTTGGAAGATTGGGAAAGGGCCCATCCAGTTCATAATGCGGTCTTTTCCATTTTTGAATATATTGAAGATAGTTGTAACAAAAGATAGCAGTAATTTGATATGTTGAGGATGAGTTTTAAAGGGTAGCAGGAAACTTTTGGGGTATAAATATGTATTCAAACATCAAGATGTATATTTAAAATATGTCCAGTTTATTTTTTGCAATTGTATCACAACTAAGCTACTTAAAAATATGTAAAAGTTTCTGACTTCCCAATCATTTCACTACCTTCTTTTGGTGTTGCTCTTGAGGTCATTTGTAGCTATGCTATTACTACAGTGGAAATAGAGTAATAGGACACATACAGATGGTAAATAAATAAAAAATACTCAACATCATAAAACATATGTGAAATGCAGTTAAGACCACAGTTAGGTACACGTTTATTAAAAGAGTCAGAAGTTTAAAAAGAGTAACCATACCCACTATTGGCAAGGATATGGAAGAACTAGAGGTCCCTAACACTGCTAGTAGAATAAAAAAGGAAACTGTTTTAGATCAGCTTGGAGTGCTTTAAAAAGTTAAATATTCACTGACCCTGTTAACTTGGGCATTGGCTTCCAAAGTATTAACACAAAAATGAAATCTATATGAATTGTGTTCAAATGTCTGTAGTTTTATTTACAGTTTCAAAAACTGGAAACTCAAATATTCATAAAAATGAATAAACAAAAAGCAGTATAGCTTTTTATAACTAGTCTGTAGTTTTATTTACAGTTTCAAAAACTGGAAACTCAAATATTCCATAAAAAGATGAATAAACAAAAAGCAGTATAGCCACAGAATATCATACTTCTCAGTATTATAAAAAGAATGAACCACACATATAAGCATTGTTGATGAATCTCATAATTATGCCACATGAGGACACCCAAGGGAAAAAATGTAAACAAACACTTTTATGACTTCAATCATATAAAATTCTAGATAATGCAAAGCATTGGCTTTGCTGGAGGGCAGAGAATAACATTAAAGAACATGAGGTAAATATGGGGGAGATGGACAGGC